GGAACTTCTTCATACGACAACTCTTCATTAACCTCGATAGTCTCGACTGGCACGATGGTGGATGGATCTCCAACCACTTTCTTCAACATGGAAACATGGAACACCGGGTGTACTAACGATATTTCGGGAGGCAATTCCAACCTATAGGCCACCTGCCCTATCCTTTGAGCAATCCGATACAGCCCGATGTACCTAGGACTCAACTTACCTTTCTTCCCGAAGCGCATGATTCCCTTCATAGGGGATACCCTCAAGAACACCCAATCATCAACTTGAAATTCCAGTTCCCTTTGGCGAACGTCCGCATAGGACTTCTGGCGACTCTGAGCCGTTTTCATCCTTTCCTGAATGACTTTAACTTTCTCCATAGCCTGGTGCACAAGATCTGTCCCTATCAGTTCTGCTTCACCCACTTCGAACCACCCAATCGGAGACCTACACCTTCTTCTGTACAATGCCTCAAATGGGGCCATCTGAATGCTGGCATGAAAGCTGTTATTGTAAGCGAACTCTATAAGTGGCAAGTGATCATCCCAATTACCTTGGAAATCCAAGACAAAAGCCCGCAACATATCTTCAAGCGTCTGAATAGTCCGCTCGGCCTGACGCCAGTCTGCGGATGGAAAGCTGTGCTGAGATTCACCTGAGTACCCAAACCTTGCTGAAATTTCTTCCAATAATTTGCCGTGAACTGGGCCCCCCCCTCCGAGATAATAGAAAGTGGAGTGCCATGAAGCCTTACTATATCCTTGATATACAACTTAGCATATTGTTTTGCAGTGTTGGTGGACTTGACTGGCAAGAAGTGAGCTGATTTGGTGAGTCGATCTACTATTACCCAAATTGAGTCGAATTTGCGCTGAGTGCATAACCCCACCACGAAATCCATGTTAATCATATCCCATTTCCACATTGGTATTTCCATAAGCTGAGACAACCCACCGGGCCACTGATGCTCAGCCTTCACCTGCTGACAATTTGGACAATTGGATACAAAGTCCGCCACACCCCTCTTCATACCGTTCCACCAATAAACTTCCTTAAGATCATGATACATTTTCGTAGAACCTGGATGCACGGAATACCTGGAATTATGAGCTTTACCCTCTCCCGAAGCTTATCCACATCCGGAACACATAACCTACCTTGACACCGCAAAACACCATCTTCGCTGCTGAGTGAAAATGCCGAAGTCTTGTTATTCAAAATTGCTTCCTTCATCTGAGCCAATGCTGGATCAATAAACTGTTTTTCCTTGACTTCCGCTACAAGTGACGATTCTGCTCCATTATGCACCATAACATT